AAGCAGACTCCCCGCTCAGCAGGGAGCCCGACACGGGGCTCCATCCCAGGACCCCGAGATCATGACCTGAGCCGAAGGCAGATGCTTAACTAACTGAGCCAACCAGGTGCCCCCTTCCTGTTCCTTTTCTAAAAATTAAACAATTAAAAAAATTTTTAATTGTCATAAATTACATATAACAAAATTTACCATCTTAACCATTTTTTAGTCTGTAGTTCAGTCATGTTAAGTATACTCACATTCTTGCCCAACCAACCTCAGAAGTTTCTCATCTTGCAAAACTGAAACTCTTCACCCATTAAACAACTCCCCATTTCCTCCCCCCTCAGCTCCCGAAAGCCACCGTTCTACTTTCTGTTTCTATGACTCTGCTCTAAGTGCCTCATTTAAGTGGATTCATACAGTTTGTCTTTTTTGACTGGCTTATTTCACTTAGCATCATGTCCTCAAGGTTCATCCATGTTGTAGTATATGTCAGAATTCCCTTCTTTTTTAAGGCTAAATAATTTAAAATTTCTTATTATCATTTTTAATTTTTATTATAAGTCTCTTGTTCTTTTGTCCTTATGAGTTTATAATTTTGTTTTATCTTCCCCATGCCTTTAGCCATGGTTTCAGTGGAACTTCAGGAAGCAGAGATAAACTTGTGAGCCCGACATCCACCTTAAGAGGAAACCCATATTCTATTTATGAAATGTAGCATTTAAGGATATATTCTCTGTTGCTTTTGAGAACCTCTTTAGTGTACAAGACTCCTTAAAGGAGAACAGAATTATGAAGTTGCGTTTAGTCTTCATTTAGCCAGAGAAAAACTTATACTTTTATGATAAGCAGAAAAGTTACTTCAAGCAGTTGTCTTCTCAGTATAAGCTCCCCTCTGGGGAGTTGAGTGAAGTGGATCCCCATATGTGGTCCCCAGACCCGCAGAAGCATCACCTGGGAGTCCGACAGAAATGCAAATTCCCAGGCCCCACTTCTGACCTACTGCATCTGAAAAGCTGGGGGTACAAAGCTGTGTCTAGACAGGAATCATTTCATTTAGTCTTAGTCCAAACATTTCCAAGATTTCTGGCCAAGAGGTAGCCATCCTTCATAAGTCATGAAGGTGCCTATACCCCCGACAGTGCCCATGTTTGGGACTTTCCTGTTTGCTGAAGAGGTAGGTCTTGCACTAATAAATATGTATTTATTTATGCTACCCAACCCTTTACTCTGCATGCCACTGGCCACACTGACTGGATCAGGAGAGAACCTCTCACACAAGGCCAGCCCATCCACTGGATGGTCAAGACCAAACTAACTGGATTTCCTTTCTTCAGGATATGAACTAGAGACACCAAAACCATAGTTGGTGCTGAACTGCTAAAGGTAGATAAAATGGAGAGAGAGGGCCACAGTGGGCTCTGTCTAAGCACAACCCCCCCGTGTCCTTTCCATTTGTCTTTTGGTCTCGAGTGGGTATATATTTCTTTAACCAAAGAGACGTGATCAGAATACAAATTAACTATTGGCAAGAAACACCGTCTGATTGATGGGTCACAGTTATGACTACCCATCATAAAGCTTGCCTAAACTATGGCTTGTCCATGCTATCATCCTGTGTTGGCAGCTGCATATAAAACCAACCGATGTCTCTGTCCGATATCTATTTAATTTTTCATGGGTGAACACAAATTGGGTAGCATTCTTATTTCATTCCAATGCTGAACTCTTGGAGTTCTTTTGCAATTGCTTCTGCTTCTCTGAGAAACTAGTGAAAATTGCTTTGTAAATCAACAAACAAAGAATCAATTTCAGTGATGTTCTTTTACAGAATCCAAAGATAAGTAGTCCCCATAGGCCACTGTCACTGCACTCCAAAGTTTGGAAGGAAATATTCCGGAAAATGAAAGCAAAGGAAATCACAACATATTACCCAAATAGTTATGGGGTAGGGAATAAAGGCCAGAATAGGAGTTTAGAAGTGAAAGTTGGTTCTGAGAACAATATTAACATAATAGGACTACCAGGATCAAGCTGTAATTTTTCAGGTCATGGTTACTGATTTAAGAATTGATGCAAATAAAAATTGTTATCAGAGAGCTGCTTGCAGAGGTGTTTTAAATCTCACATGTCTTCTTTTAATATTAAACTGTTGTAGAATATCCCAGGATGGGAGAGACCATATAGGTCATCTAATCCAATTATGCATTTCATGCCTGACTCACTTCTATACCCCTAAAGAAATGACAGCCACATGACCTGGGCATTGCCATTGATGACAGAGCCATGCACCACACCTCACATAGAAAATCTACAAAAACAAAACAACAAACTACTTTGAAACACAAAATATGCTACTTTGAAATATGGTTCTTGTAAATGTTTGGAAAAGCAGCCCCTTTTTTCCTGTCATTCCTGGGGGAAAGAGTGTTAACCATTTGGCGGACACTGGTTATCGTCCCCAAAACTGGTTCTCAATTTCCAAATGTTTGCTTGGCACATGACTGTTTTAAATAAAGCATACATTCCCAAGCTTTCCTTATGACTATGTGTTTCAATCCTATTGCTGTGTTACAAATTATCTCAAAACTTTGAGACTTAAAACAACATTTTTATTATGCTCCCCCCATTCTGTGGGTCAGGATTTTGGGCAGGGCATCTCAGAGCTGGCTACTTCTGTCATCCTGGCATGATTTCTTTCAAAGCAGTCACAAACCCATCCAGATTCAAAAGGAGGGGAATTAAGATTTCAACTCTTTTTTTTTTTAAGACTTTATTTGACAGCGAGAGAGACAGTGAGAGAGGGAACACATGCAGGGGGAGTGGGAGAGGGAGAAACAGGCTCCCCATGTAGCAGGGAGCCTGACCTGGGATCATGACCTGAGCTGAAGGCAGACGCCCAACGACTGAGCCACCCAGGTGCCCCTAAGATTTCAACTTTTGATGGGGGGGTGGCAAGGCCACACTGTAGAAGAACACAGGAGCAGGAAATATTGTTGGAGTCACCTTTGGAAAATGCAATCCACCACATCATGGATGTGGCCATCTTGACCAAGTTCTGGCCAAGAGGGTATTAGAGGAATTGGTGTATTTAACTTCCTGGAAGGGTTCTGAGAAGTGTGTGTGTGTGTGTGTGTGTGTGTGTGTGTGTATTTGGATGGGAGATGTGGGGAAGTGGGGTGGGGGGGTAGAATCCCTTTTCTTTCCCACTTTTCTCTTGGCTTAAATATGAATGAGATGACTAGTAGGGCAGCAATTTTGGACCACAAACTGAGGATTACAGAGCAACGAGCTGGAAGGAGCCTGGGTACCCAAAGGTCATGGAACCACCATATACTAGCCCTGAACTGCTTACCTTTATGTTACAGAGAAATAAGCTTCTATCTTGCTTAAGCTACTGTATTTTGCATTTTCTGCCACACGTGAGCAATGCTAATCTTAATAAAAACATCATAAATGAAGGCAGATGATGAAAATTCATCTTAATTACTGATCTATAAAGATAATGCTTATATGGTTTATATAATACTTACATGATTAAGAGTTGGACTAATATTGTCCTCTATGAGGATCATGGTATTTTATAAAATCTTACTGCTTAGAATGCCCGGCACAATTAGAAGTACTTTACTATATTTAAAAACAACATACTATTACGAGGTTGATAAGAAACAGAAATCGAGAAATACATTCACTCATGGAGCAATTACAGGCTGGATTATAAACAAAGGATTAATATGAATTTTTATAAATGTTATATCTCGATTTCTAGGCTTTGAATTTCCTGAGTCATGTATGTACTCTTTTTTGTGAGTGGAATGATAAATCAGAATAACTGAGTTTGCTCTTTAAATATTTTATTTACTATATAATGGTCATTGTAGAAAATAAAGTACGTGTTTTAAAAAACCATTTAATTGGTAAAAAGCAATTTTCTAATTCAAAATTGTAAATATTTGCAGAATAAGCCTCATTTTTTAAAGTCAAAGACTTCAACTTTAAAAGTACACGTTTTTGTTCTATTTCTCTTTATATTAAGTAACCTATTTTGGAGATATAATTCAAATCACTCCAAGTGTAAGGGAAAGTTTTAAAATAAATCATAAGAGCCTCATCAGGCAAAGCATTTTTTGCTTTAGGACTATATGTCTTGACTCTGACATTTCATTCAAATTGCTGCACTATCCTGTTTGAAGGGCCTCATAATAAATGGTGCCTTTGTCTTAATAAATAGTAGTAAGTGCATCGAGTGGACAATGCATTAGTACCAGTAAAGCAAAACATAACAGGATGTATGGAGAAAGGCTGGATAAGCAGCGAAAGAGAAAGAAAGGTGTCACAAGGATGGGATTATTTCTTTGTCCAAAACAGAACCAGTAGCACAGATGACTTTAAACAAAAGACACTGCCAACACTTATCAACGCAACTCGATTCCCAGAGGAAAAGAAAATGCCGCTACCGAGGTGGAGGCTGAAGTTTCGGGGCAGATCACAGGGCGGCAGCTCTGCGCGGTTCGCGGTGGTGAACGACTTGTGGAATTCGGCCAAGCGGCCCGCCCGCTGCAGGGCGCGGACAGGTGGACGGCGAGGCGCGCCTGGGGGCCACCTGGGGCAGTGCCGAGCGAGGCCCGTGCCCGGCGCACGCGGAGCGCCGACCCCCTCCAGCCCGCCGCCGCCGCCGCCGCCCTCCAGCGTCTTCAACACCGCAACCTTCCCAGCGGCGGTGCGCGGCGCCAGCCGGCGGAGGTTGCCATGGTTTCCGGGGGTCACGTGGGCGCGCTCCGACGCCCCCTCCCGCGCGGCGCGGCTCGGCGCTGCGGGGCGGGGGCGGGGCGGCCCGGGCGGGGGGCGGGGGGAGGTGGAGAGGAGCGGCCGCGGCGGGAGCGGGAGGAGCCGGAGATGCTGCCAGCCCTCCCCGGGCCGCGCTCGCTCAGCCGCCGCCGCCGCACGGAGCAGCCGCGCGCCGGGAGCCGCGGGCCGGGCCAGCCGGGCCTCCGGGGCCCAGAGCGCCGCGCTCGCAGCGGGTAGCGCCTCCAGCGCCGTCCGCGCTCGCTCGGCGGCCGCGGGGCCGCAGGCCGGTCCGGGGAGGCGGCGAAGGCGGCGCCCAAGCGCCCGCCGCCCAGCAGGCAGGATGAGCATCGAGATCCCCGCGGGACTGACGGAACTGCTGCAGGGCTTCACGGTGGAGGTGCTGAGGCACCAGCCCACGGACCTGCTGGAGTTCGCGCTGCAGCACTTCACGCGCCTGCAGCAGGAGAACGAGCGCAAAGGCGCCGCGCGCTTCGGCCATGAGGGCAGGACCTGGGGGGACGCGGGCGCCGCCGCCGGGGGCGGCACCCCCAGTAAGGGGGTCAACTTCGCCGAGGAGCCCATGCACACCGACTCCGAGAATGGGGAGGAGGAGGAGGCCGCGGACGCCGGGGCGTTCAACGGTGAGGACCCGACCCCCTGCGCGCCCCCGCTCGCCCGCGCCGTTCCCCCTTTGCTCTAGAATCCCGCAGCTTTGCTCACCCGCCTCTCCCTGCGTTCGCCGCCTTCCCTACCTTCCCATCTCGCCCACCCCCTCAGCATCCATTTCTGTCTCTCCCAGTCGCCCACCTTCCTACTCGGCTTTCGAGTCGTGTCCTCCCCCTCCTCCCCTCCTTTGGAGGTGGTGGGGCGCTGAAAGGTTCTCTGTCCAGGTGCCTGCTCTCGTCCTGGGCTTGCCGGCGGAGGACCGCGGGTGTGGGGTGGGCATCTGAAAGACAACTTCCACTGTGGTTGGAGAGATTTCGCTGGACGGATACCATTGTGCGTAAAGGAAACTGGCCCACTTGGCATCCTCTTGCAGCCCTTGTATTTATTAATGGAGTGTCCAAACAGAAAAGGCGAAGGGTATTCAATTGGATTGGCTTTGCTGTCGTTAAGATTGCATAGTCACTAAAAGGAGCATGAAATTGTATGCACTGGGGCAGAACAAAATTTATGGTAATAACTTTGACATTCTTGGAAACAGAGTAATCTATTATTTTCCAATTTACCAATACCGCGTTGTGTTATTTTTGGACACACAACAAAGGATCCTCTTTAGCCTGCAACTCATGGGTTCTTTGGAATGAGGAAACGGACTAATGGTTTGCTTTTTATTTAAAACAAATATTCAATGATTTGATGCCTTTAAAAAAAAAAGTATGTGAAAAACGCTGTAGGAAGTTCTGAAAGCTTGTTGGTTGTCTTTAGAATGAAAAGTCAGTGAGTAATTGTAAGGACTGTGCCAGACACAAGCTAGAAAGAATGAATGGGAAAGAAAAAGGAATTTTCTCAAATAGCTGCTCCTGGCAAGTCCCACCCCTTCTGCTTACAACCCTTTTTCCCTCACACACACAGACACGCACAGTTACAGCCTCCTGTATTTACACCACATGCCTAAATCCCATCTTTATGACATCCCAAGCGAAAATACCACGGTGTGCAAGTGTTTTCTCTTTGTGGTGGAAGACAAGCATTTCAGCATTGCACCAGTCTGTATTTATTTACACTGCTTGTGGTTTGTGTGTCTGCAGTGTATTCCATATAATGAAAACGTTTTAAAGTGTCATTTCCTTGAGTGTTCCTAGGAAGGTGTTTTCTTTGTAAATTTGTTGAAATGTGTTTTAGAATTAATGTATTTTTAGCTTGTCTGAAACGATCACAAAAACCCTGGACATTAGTGTTCTATGAAGACAAAAAAGGGAAATTGTTACTTTAAAATGTTAATTTTTGACTCTTTAGTGTTTACAGGGATAAGATGATCATAGTCTTAATTGTTCTTTTTGCACAAGAATTTAATCAAATGCTTTCCTTGCTAGAACTAAGGAAAAGGTCAAAGGAGGCATATTTTAAATAGAGGGGCAGGAGAAGCCAATAATGGGTGACACGGAAAGGGCAGAAACATCTAATACTTCTTTTATGCTCCTGGCACATGCACACACACATCACTTGCACACACACATACATGTACGTACACACACACATACATGCACTTGCACACACAAAGGAAGAAAAGAGGACTCATTTTCCAGGTTGGAGGAAACTCGGAACAAGGGAGGTGGGAAAAAAACCTATATATGTTTGGTATGATTTATTAATAGTATAACTAAAGTATTTTCTTTGTACTACAGGAGTTTTGAAGTACTTTGCATTGATGATTCTGTTTTCTCCTTACAACAATGCAGATTGTACACAAAACAGATTTTATTTCCATTTTGTAATGAATAAGCCATTAACTTCTAAATAGCAGGAATCGTTTTATATGGCTTTATGTTCTCCAAGGCACCTTTATTGTAAAAATTACTCTGTGTGAGTTTTAATGAATACTCATTAACCAGTTGCACCATTTATTTCCACCCCCACCCACAAGGGCTTTAAAACTTTGTGACTACAACCAAATACAATTTGATCATTATCCGATACACATATATGCGTATGTAACAGAAACTTTGGCAATGGTACTTCCCTCTATTAGGTGCATTAGAAAATATCGACTAGAGTATCTCCTATTTTAACAAATCTCTCTTATTATTACTATTTTTAAGTACGTAAATTGTGTTGAAACCTGCAGTTTAGAAAAAATTATAGGCTACCGGGAGTTGACAAACGTTTTTGTAAAGGGCTAGACAGGAAATATTTTAGGTTCCGTGAGCAACATATGGTCTTCATTGAATATTCTTTTGAATATTCTTTTTTTTTTTTAATTTTAAATACATATTTTCTCTGGAAGTTGGGGTTGTACAAAATTAGCCACAGACCAAGGCCATAGTTTGCTGGCCCCTGGCTGGAGGGGGAAAAAAAGTCAAAATAGTGCTGTTGGAAAACAAACAAACAGAAACACAAGTGAGCCTATCAATTTAATGTTTAGATGCAAAAATTGCCAAAATATAAAAACGTCAGATACCAGGTAATTCTCCTAGCATAACATAGTAAAGAGTAAGTACTAGAAGGCAAGTCTTAATTTACTGTGACCCAGCACAAAACCAACTGGGTCACTAATTTCTTAATTCTGTATGCATCTCAAGGAAGTTTGATTTAGAAATGAATATTATCTGCTCTTGGAGAGCAGTTTTGAATAGGTTGGGGAGGTGGGACATGGGGTCCTTTTTTTTTTTTTTTTTTTTTTTTACAGACATCCCAGGTCATTCTGATATTCATTGTTCCCTGACCACGCTGTGAGAAACACTGACCAACAGAGAGTGATCATAATGTCTTTGTCTTATCAGCATTTAAAAAAGTGGCCACCTTTTATTGACCTTGACCGTGTGCTAGGCATTATCTGAATGCTCTGATTCATTATCCTGGCCATCACTTGTCCAGTGTTTCATAGCTAGTGTACTACAAACCCGGGATTTGAACACAGGTGGGCCTGGCTCCATCCCTCTGGCTCTTAACTCCCAGGTTTTATCTCTGGAAGGGCCTGGGGCCAGCATCACTTGGGCATTCCTTTTGTGTCAAACTCTGAGACCTTTGATATGTTTTATCTATAAGGCTCTGAAAAGTGAACTTGTCCAGGGTTACACACAGGACTAGTAAGTAGCAGAGCCTGGTTTCTTACTCACAGTTGTCTGACCCAAGACCATCAGAGAGTTCATCCTAAATGAAACTTGTCCAGTGGACTGACTCACAGGTCAGGTTTTCCTGGGTATTTTTCCAGTAATGGTGATGAATTTGCATGGATTGGTTAGTACCCACTCTCATGAATCCCTTTAAGACAAGTGATGGTATTTATGAGAGGTTGGGCAAATTTTTGACCATGAGACTGCTGCCCATTTGACTCAAGTAGGGATCAAGCATATGACCTTGACCTCAGTGTGGTGGTGGGATCAAGTAAGTGAGCTAGGGTCTGGTAGCATGACCATTGATAGCACTGGGCCAAATGGTCAGATGGGTGAAGGTGGTCTACTTCCTTCCTGCCTTTGCAAAGAAACCCTTTCTCTGGTAGCTGTCCCATTTCTTTCCTGTTTTCTAATTTTATTACCTCTGTTCCTTTCAGTTTGCTATCAATTCTGGTTAAAAGGGCAGCCTTTAGGTTTTAGAATGATAACAGCATATGGTAATAACCCTTCCTGGGAACTCTTGAAATTCTGAAAGAAGCTATAATGGAGACTGCCTACCTCTTCCCCATCCAAGGGAAAGCAAATAAAGTATGACATGTTGCTTCTGAAAGGGTAGTGTCCCCAGGCTTAGACTGTATTTGAAGGGTTAACAGCGGGCCAAAGAGTTGGATCAGTACTAATTTGGAGTGGAATCTATGGTAATTCATGATTTTGTGCAGGCATCATTGTGAGATCTTGTGTTGCTCAATAATTTCTTCAGTGAAATTGCTGAAATTAGAAAATGAAGTAAATAAAAATCCAAATTACCCCTGTAAATTGATAAGTGGTCAGAAAAAAATTAAATTACATGTGGGTACACGAAAAGCAATCAAACTAGAAGAAAAGGAACTACTATATATAAAATACAGAAGAACTAATTTTCCATATTGTGGAAGAAAAATCTAGAGTTCAAAGTAAGTACGTCAAAAATTTAGAATATCTTATAAAGCAAGCATGTCAAGATATATCAATAGAAATTCACCATGTACAAACTTATGATTTAATCCTCTTAACTCTGACCTATGTCAAACCTTTGTTGGAGAATCATATCTACCTATGATGTTTTTTACAATTTAAAGGGAATGTGGGGAATTTATAAGAGGTCCTTCAAATCACACAAAATATTGGAAAGTTGGAGCTCATGATGGTGGCAGGGGGAGATTCAGAGAACAAATTTATTTCATGAGAGAAATGGTTGCTTAAGGAGCGGTTGGAAGAACAGTCACGTGTCGAAAAAGTTTTCTTAGAGGGTTATGAGCAAATATTCTTTATCTCTGTATGTCTGCCTCAGAATCAGAAGAACTAAGCTTCATTGTAACTTGAAGAATAGGGCTCAGAAGTTCAGCTGTCTGAAGTGGCTTATGTGGTCTTCCTGAAATGAGTTGGCAAAATGGATCAGGGCAGTAGGTATATTAGCTCCCTAAGAATCTGCTGTGAGAATGTTCTTCTGCTCAAACTGGAAGTACAGAACACTTTGATTGACTTCTTGGTTTCACTGAGAGCAGGAACTTGGAGAGAATCATCATAGCTGTAATGAATTGCTCCTTTGGCTGATTTATTAGGCTCTCTTTTATGTCTGTGTTCTTACCTAAGAACCTGCTCTCTCGGTGGCTACTAGAGGTGATTATGAGACAAAGCAGCCAATTGTTAGCTCTTCATCCACCTCTTCAGTTCATTTCACTCTTCTGAAAATGTTCATGAAAGTCAGACGACATTCAGTTTCCTTCACGTATGAAGCGCTGTGCTAGGCATATTGACATATTATCATACTAATCATATAATCGTCCTTACCTCATAAGGTTGTTAGAGGATAAATGGATTGATAT